TGTCCTTTACAGCCTTTCCCACGGCATGTGGTCTGGGAGGCAAAGGAGGTGGTACTGATGAGGGATCACGCAAACGTGTCGAGGAGGTAGCGGGCGTCCTCGAAGACCGACGTCGACGTGAACGACGCCTTCTGACTTTAGCTGCGGCTTCTCGATGAGATGAGTGATCGCGCACCATCTCCTTCAAGATGGCAATTTCCTTCTGAATCCGCGGGCAGTCCTTCGATGTGGCTTCATTGGATCCATTGCAATTAGAGCATTTCTTGACAGTTGCGACGCACTTATCCGCTTCATGGTGCTCGGCGCAGCGGTGGCATACCACCGAATTCTCGCAGACGCTGCTCACATGTCTAAGTTTCATGCATTTACGGCACTGGAGAGGCTTTGGAATGAAAGGCCGCACAGCTTGTCTGAAGTACACCACCTTCACATGAGAGGGGAATGATGTGCTCTTAAACGCAATCTTCACACAGCGAGACTTGCCTAGCCGGGTGACATCAACAATTGGAGTATCAGTTGTTGACTTGACAAGAAGTTGTAAGTCCTTATTAGAAATAGCGACATCAATGTCGTAGATCACGCCGGTTACTACATCACATCCCAAGGGAACATGAGAGCGCACCTGGTTGCCGTCCAAGTCAGTTACACTGCGCAGAACGCCCAACGCACTTGCGTGCAAAACGTCCACAGCCAGTATATTCTTTCTGGCGTTCACTCTTATGTCCGTGATCTCATTTGGCACGAGTGTTTCCAGAGACCTCGACACTGACTGTCTGTTAAGGCGTTTCATGCTGACGGTAGGAAGTGCAGGCAGAAACAGGATGGTATAAGTGTTCGATTTTGGCGCTTCACTTACACTTTGAATAGTTGAGGTTGAGGATGTCCTCATGTTCCTTCTCTTCGCCTTGCGGCTCAGCGCAGGTTGGAAACCGTCATCTGAGAAGTCCTCACTGCTGAGATAGTAAGCATGAGTATCTTCACTGTCGCTGTCGCTCGCTTGTCCCATCCGCTTCCTGGAGGCGGTCGCCGCTGACGCCGCTGACGCCGCTGGTGCCGGCAGGCACCCGGGGTGGTCTACTTCCATCCCCTCCAAGGGAGCAGCGGAAACTGATCAACAGACTTAAATTACAACTGAAATACGCCGGAGTTAGCAGAAGCAGCTCCTATTCAAAACACACGTGAAAGATCTTATCAATTGTACTTGTTCTCAATAAAATAAACAATCAAAGTAAAAGCAACACTCGCTGTACCATGATAACGTAAATCATAATGTGTCGGGCGTCGACACCTGCACGCCTGTAAAATGCGTCGGCATTTATTGACGCATTATCGAACCTTGCAGCGTTGTCGCTGTTGCTGTAGCGTTAAGGATACCATAACCTTAGTTACTCGTGCCCTATGCGCAATCTTCTTCTACTGAACAGTCTGAGACATTAGAGGGTATAGCGTTGCGTATAAAGGATACAGACACAAGATGAGACGACACAGGGCGTAATTTCGGAACAGAGTGACACTTTTTTAGATGCGAAGCAGCGTATGGCAGAGTTCAATCCGGTGCGTGTCGCGAGCAGCCTTAGGCCCTGTGCACGCGCTACCCGCTCAGTCGCAACGCACGTGCCGGGACACCTGCCGCACCTAATCGTGGGGGGGGGGGGGGGAGGCAAATGAGCAAACCGGCGGCGCTCTTTCATCCTTCGCTTGGGTGCGGCAGGTGTCCCGTCATAGGCGGGGCGGGTAGGCAGCTAGCGCGTGGACAGGCTCTTACTTCGCATGCGCCGACTCTTCCACTCTCCTCGCGTGAGAGCGAGGAGGTGGGAGGAGGTGGCAGAGCACTGCCTCCGCTTCGTTTTTCCTCTCCCGCTTATCTCTCTATCACAGCTGCGTGTTCGTATATAGTGCTGCACTTCCTCGCAAAGTGAGCACAGGGTGCTCACTTTGCGGCACATACACGGTAATGCACACATGAGAGGGGGGGGGGGTAACACAAGCGGTACACAACGTATGCAACCCCCCACACACATGAAACACACACGAAAACATACAAAAGGAAACAATAAAAGTCACAGCTTTGCTACAACGGCGAAGCAATGAGTGCGATAGCTTCAAATTGGAATGCCACGCGAAAAATGGCAAGCAGATCAAAACGTTCCACGCGTTGCTCACGCACAAATGACGCTCGAAACGTACTTACATGTACGGATGAACGCGAATAAGTGTCTCGGTTGGTTACTTCACTGTGTCACAAAAAGCGCGGAGATTCTAGATCGATTGCAGTGACCTTTGTGCGCCCGGTAACTACAACAGAATCATTCCGGTCAAAGCTCAAGGCGTACCCCACCGCGAGATAAGCGCGCGCACGCGTGAGCGTCTACCCTCCCCTCTCCGCGGGGCAAAGTACGCGTCGGAGGTGAATGCATGAGCGCGCGTCCCCGTGTTGTGACGATCTGGCGACGCGTTGTTAATGCTGAGAACACATGCGGGTAACGCGTGGAAATGCCCAAAACCCCTGCTTTGCGATAACTTAACAGTGGTTATGTTTGCCATGTACCTGCCTGTAACTGTTTTTAGCCGTAGTGTTCGTGTGACAGCGGTATTAAGGGGCTTTCGTTGAAGCAGAGGAAGAAACCGAGCCAACCAAGGTAGCGAGAACAAAATTGAAAGCTTTTTTTCTTTACAAGAGAGAATTCGACGTTTCGCGCTTCACTTGCATTCATTTGACAAGTTTTGTTCTTGACATGAGGGCACGCCTATTGTCCATGAGGTGCAGAATTCCATTTATAATTATAGGCAGGCTCCGTCGGTAGCACAACTGCAGACCGGTCAAGTTACCAGCTTTAAAAGCAGCTTATAAATTGGGCTATCAGTCTCCCATGCTAAACATGACCAATTTGATGCTGTGATCGTTCACCACGCTGTGCTCAGCGACTTGCAGAACTCGGTTTTATATTGCCGCAGGGTCTCGAAGAAGTACTTAGCTTTCACCAAGTACAAAACTTGATAATCAGCGCGTGGTATGCAGTAAACAAGTTCATGCGCTTCCGGCAGCCCTATCTTTTGTGCAAGGAAAGGCGCAGGGGCAAGCAATCCACCTGCTACAATCCAATTTCGTGAAAAGCACGTTCCTACAGTTTGTCATGGCGGATTGCGCAGCCTTCTGCAAGCTCTGTGTAGCGAATGCCCAGAACTCCCCTCATGAAGTTGGGGCGTTTTTCTCCGTAATTTTCAAAATTTCTACAAACAAGCAAAAAACAATTCCGCATTCCCTTTCTTTGTCAAAACGTGCAGGCGGACAGCTGTCCGACGCTGCGACGAAACGAATTCATCGCGGTAAGCTGCGACAAAATGCACCTACACGATTAAAAAAGTAACGAGTAACGTGACACCGCACGTTGCCTAAAATATGTAACGTAAGTACGTTATCAGTTACAGGTCTAAAATTGTAACGAGTACGTTACTAAGTTACCGAAAAAAGTAACACGTTACCGGTAACATTACTTGTGCGAGTTACCGCCTACAGTGCTGCAAATCTGTTCGTATCCCCGACCATTCACAGTCTTGCCCAAAATGTGGCCATGACTCACGTTCTTTAGATTACATGCTCTGGTTATCATCATCATCATCAGCCTGACTACGTCCACTGCAGGACAAAAGCCTCTCCCATGTTCCGCCAGTTAACCCGGTCCTGTGCCTGCTGCTGACAATTTATACCCGCAAACTTCTTAATCTCATCTGCCCACCTAACCTTCTGTCTCCCCCTAATCCACTTGCCTTCTCTGAGAATCCAGTTAGTTACCCTTCACGACCAGCGGTTATCCTGTCTACGTGCTCCATGCCCGGCCCATGTCCATTTCTTCTTCTTGATTTCAGCTATGATATCCTTAACGGCCGTTAGTTCCCTAATTCACTCTGCTCTCTTCTTGTCTCTTAAGGTTACACCTACCATTTTTCTTTCCATTGCTCGCTGCGTCGTCCTCAATTTAAGCTGAACCCTCTTTGTAAGTCTCCAGGTTTCTGCTCCGTAGCTAAGTACCGGCAAGATACAGCTGTTATATACCTTCCTCTTGAGGGATAGTGGTAATCTACCTGTCATAATTTTAGAGTGCTTGCCGAATGTGAAGAGGCCGTTAATGCCTCTTCACCCATCACGAAGGAGAGGGCCCACAACCTCGCGACGAAACTTTGACTTCCGATGACGATAGTTATAGCTCGAGAACAAAACGACGACACAGAGACAAGAAGGACACGAAAGACACGTCCTTGTCTCTGTGTCGTCGTTTTGTTCTCGCGCTATAACTATCGTCATGCCATACCAACTAGCCCAAGCTGCCACACTTCGACTTCCGGTCCCGACTTGATGTTGGGGCCTATGGCTCTTTTGAACATACGTCCCTCAGGACTTAAATAAAGTCCTTGTCATGTCATGTCAGGTATAAACTAATGACAAACCAACAGGCCCACATAGCTACCCTGGTGAAGTCTGAAACAACCGCGAAATTTCGAAGCACTCTACGGCGCGACCTGCGACGAGTGTTCGTAACGCATTTTAAACGCGAAATTTGACCGTCGGCGGCAACTCGCGCCCCGTGGTGTCGGGGACGAGCGAGGCAAAAAACGATCACGCGATGACGTCACAGATAGACAAAAGTTTGCGACGTCATTAAGACGTGACAGTGACGTTACCACGACGTCCCGTCACATGATGACGACCTCACATCGCATCGCAGCTCACACTTATTCAATTTCATCGCAGCTTGGTCAAAGGGGTTCGATCACAGAAGCAACGCAAAACAAGGCGAGGATGCCTCCGATTGGAGGCAGTGCAAAATTACGTAATGTGCAGAAATCTTTCGAAGGGTGGCGGGGCACAGGATGATGAAAAGGAAGACGGCCTTCGTGTCTTCTTATTGTGCGTGCATCTAGACTGCGTTAAAAGAACAGACCTAAGCGCGCTCAGCAATATTTTCTTCCATATTGCAGCGCATCAACTGTTGGCCGCTTACCCTGGACGATCAGTGTAGCCATTGCACGGTCGCTGTCCAGCCCAGTGCGTGCCACACAGGTGTAGTTGCCAGAGTCGAGCTTGGTGGCGCGCGTGATGGTCAGCGAGTTGTCGTTCAATTTAGCCAATCGTCGGCCAACCTCAAAGTCGATGGGTTGGTCGTTGAACAACCATTCGACACTTAGCTCCAGACTTGGATCCGCTTGGGCGCTGCAGCGGAAGGTAGCGGCCCCACCAGATGCCACCTGTAGGTAAAAGACACGCGCTGCTGCTAAAATTTGAAAGCGTGAAATATCAGTAGCGGAAGTTATTTTGAGAACAGAAAAACGGGCTAACCACAAGCAGACTTGGCGGACTCCTAATGGCGAAACTTAAAAAAATGAAATAGATTTCACTCTGTGTGCACACTCAGGCATTGTACAGGATGTAGAAGTAGTTGGCAAGTTCCGATGCAGTGACCATAGAACGGCAAGAGCTCAAATTAACCTAAATTTTAAAAAAGCACAGCCGTAAACTTATACGCAAGAACCCAATTAATGATCTCACTGAAAGGGAAACTACAGAAATTCCGAACAAACAAGATTTCGTACAAGCTACTTCACAATAGACCATATTAATACTATCAATAATGTGATAGAGGCATGGAATACAACCAACCCCTGTACATATATATATCTATAGCCTTCATATAATGCGAGAAGGCGTTTGACTCAGTCGAGACATCAGCAGTGATGCAGACACTACTGAATCAGGGCATCGCGACGAACTCTACATAAACAAATTGGAATAAATCTATAGCGGATCCACAGCCACCATACCAAGTTCTCCATAAAGAAATCCATAGAATCCCAATACAGAAGGGTGTAAGACAAAGAAACGCGATATCTTCAATGCTATGCACCGCGTGTTTACGGCCGGTTTTCAAGGTTCTAGATGGGGAGGAGTTAGAGATGAGAGTTAATAGAGGATGGTAATAAGGGCTGCAGCGCGAGCACGAAGGTGCTAGAAGAAACAGACGAAAGGCGAGGCACGGAAGGCAAAGAGGACAACACGAGCGCTGAGTTGTCCTCTTGAGTAGTACTACAGTAAACTACGATTCGCGGATGACATTACATTTATGGGTAACTCATGGGACGAATTACAGCTCATGATTACTGAACTGGACACGCAAAGCAGAAGAATAGGTCTGAAAATTAATGTGCACAAAACTGATGTGCAACAGCCTCGACAGAAAACAGCATTTTGCGATAGGTGGAGAGGCGCTGGAAGTTCTAAATTAATATGTCTACTTAGGCCAGGTAGTAACCACGGAGCCGGGCCATGAAAGTGAAATAACTAGAATAAGGACGGCGTGGATAACATTGGGCAAGCATTCTCAAATCATGAATAGTAATCTGCCACTAATCGCCTAGAGGAAGGTATATAACAGCTGCGTCTTGCTACCCTCAACTCTTCCTTCTAGCGCTCGGGGCTAAGTCTCGCCTTCACGGCACCTGCGTCACGATGTGGCGTGAGACCGTATATGCATAAATCCCGCTGCCGATCCGATACCACGGTAGTCTGTGGTGCGCGTTCCACAGCCGATCTGATCAGCTGGAAACGATGACGTCAGTGAGGCAGAGCGTGTCGCAGCAATAAACGAAGCCGCAAGTACGATTCGCCGCCCGCAAGTACGAAGACTAGGCAATTGTGTACTACCCATCATTCCCATGGTCGCTGAACGATCGCAGTGCCAGAGTGCCCTCTAGATAATTTTAAGAAACTCTATTGTTGTATGGACGGTTGAAAACGCGTTTGGCCGAGTCGCAGCGATCTGGAGCGATTCGCAGATGTAAAGTGTTGGAATAAATTACACAGTTTACGCAGAGAGCTTAAATCGGTCTCTAAATTACCTTGGGACTCGGTCTACCAGCCAATGTGTTTGTAAAAAAAAATTGTCAAAACCGTTTCAGAGTCTCTTTAAGGGTTCTCGACACCCAGATTTTTGTTTAGACCAACATACCAAATATATTTAAATTCCGTGCCAGCATTCCAGCAAGTTACCTCAAAGTCCTGCGGTGGCTCGGTAATTCGGGTCTTGCGCTTGACCTCCAGTCTTCCGGAGGTCTGGCGCACGTGATTGCGAGACCTGTCGCTGGCAGAGCACACGTATTCGCCCTGATCCGCGAACGTGAGGCCGTCAATCTGCAGGTCTCCGGAGTCGAGGATGCGGTAACGGCCTCCGGTCAGTTCCTGCGAACCTTTCGTCCACTTCAGTTCGGGCCGTGCAGCTTCTGCAACACGACATCGCAGAGTCACCTTCGACGTCACCACACCGACTGTCAACGGTTCGGGCGGTTCCAGGATGAGTGGAGTAACCTCTGAAGAACACAAACCAGGGAATAGCGTGACAATCGAGCGCTACAAGCACCAAAAGAAATAAAAGAAATAATAGATACGATAAAATAAAAACAAAATAAATGATTGAAAGCAACGACATCTCAAGTTTACCTCATTTAGGCATCTCGCAACAACCACGACTCGTACTGTTTCCTACGTATTACAATTTATCGTAATAAATTTGTTGTACTTGATTTAAATGTTTAACAAATTATTCCTCTCTCTGATACGTAGTGTTGCGCCTCCCCACTCCAAATGAGATAAATAGAGAGAAACCTTCGCTTAATGTTTAAAAAATATAAAACGCTAATCTAAATGGACTTTGGAAGCCAATATGCCATCGTTGACCTGCCCTGGCGAGCCAATAGCCAGTGCGGGGGAAGGAGAGGGCCCTGAAAGAAGGGTACCCAGCACTCACAGTAATCAAGAGATGGTTTATTTAAATAAAATTGTGTATGTATGTCTTTTTTTTCATTCGAAATAAATATTTCATGCCTTTCAGTTACGGGTGTGATCAGCAGCACAATTACGTGGACGCTCAGATACACACAATATATGTTAAGTTGATAACCAAGCTTTCATGGACCAGCATTGTCCTATACGACCTCGTGACAATACTGGACCATTAGGGCATGTAATCGATTCACACCGTAAGCTTCTCCTACTGAGCTATTGAATGTACAACGTCATTTTTTGTGAAAGGGAACACGGCGACGCGTGGCCGGCGCGCTCCAGCGGCTGCTGGCAGCGCGTTCAAGCGGGAGCGAGAGCAACCACAGTTTCTTCTCGCGTCCTCTCGCGGCGAGCCAAACAACCATTCCTTGCTGATAACGAACGGCAAGATTGCAACCCCTCCCCCTTCAAAGCGAATACGCGAGAGACGTTTATCATCACCTTAAAGGGGGGGGGGTCGCAATCTTGCCGCTGGTTTCATATTAGCAACGACTGGTTGTTTTTCACCTTTACCTTCTTGTTTCAGTAACGGGCATGCGTTTTTGGTCCTAAAGCAACAAAACAAACGTTTTGTTTTCCAACCAAAAGCGAAGCTTTCCTGTTTACACGACAGGGGGCGCTCACCTTTCCGCAAATGGTTGTATTGTGGTATTGTATTTGTATAGGAAGAGCGTGGACACACAGTGGAGAAAAAGAACTAGAAGACTCACTAGTAAGTATACGGCTGGTATTGTAAGCCGTATGTCAACAAAGAGCGTTAAGGGAAAAGTCAGGGAGGCGGAGAGGATTTACTGGATGGCAGCTATGGAGAAAAAACCGGCTTTGAGTAACTACCGAAAGGGCAAAAATGAAATAAGGAGGGAGGCATTTTACGATAATTCAAGGGGAAGCGCTTTACTGTTTGAAGCGAGATCGGGTTGCCTTAGAACGCGTAGTTATAAAGCAAGATTCAGTAAAGAAGAAGAACAATGCACATGCTGCGGGAAAGATAAGGAAACGGCGGAGCATGTTCTGATTGAATGTGGAGATATCCACCCAGGTGCACGTTTGGGCACGAGCCTACAGGAAGCCTTGGGTTTTAGGGACAACAATGGAAAGCTGAACACACCCGCGATTGAAATAAGTAAGAGACGGTTAGAGTATTGGTGGCAGAAAATTAGAGAGAAAGGACAAAAATAAATATTGGAAAAATAAAATATGGACAGTGTGCCGTAAATGGCAGAGAACTTAAGCTGAAAATTTACCTTTTTTTCCATTAAGATAGAATTTATCGAAGTAGAGGCATTAGGCCAACATAAAAAGAAAAAAAGTTTTTTTTTTTTTTTTGTCGAGCCTGGTGGCATACTTGTCACCACCCCGTTATAAAGGGGACGCTCATAGCATCCATCCATCCATGGTCAGGTACAGAAAAAGCCTCGGCAGCAAAAGGAAAGAGGAATGCGGCAATAATGAAGTACAGAGCGCTGTGGGGATACAATAGGTATGAGGTGCTTCGAGGTCTGTGGAAGGGTGTAATGGTTCCAGGGCTTACTTTTGGGAACTCAGTGGTGTGCATGAGGGCAGAGGTGCAATCGGGAATGGATGTAAATCAAAGGACTGTGGGACGCCTCGCGTCGGGTGCTCACGGGAAGACGACAAACGAGGCTGTAAAGGGCGATATGGGGTGGGCAGGTTTTGAGGCGAGGGAAGCGCAGAGCAAAATAAGGTTCGAAGAAAGGCTAAAGGAGAGTAGATGGGCAGAGAAGGTGTTCCGTTATTTGTATAGGAAGAGCGTGGACACACAGTGGAGAAAAAGAACTAGAAGACTCACTAGTAAGTATACGGCTGGTATTGTAAGCCGTATGTCAACAAAGAGCGTTAAGGGAAAAGTCAGGGAGGCGGAGAGGATTTACTGGATGGCAGCTATGGAGAAAAAACCGGCTTTGAGTAACTACCGAAAGGGCAAAAATGAAATAAGGAGGGAGGCATTTTACGATAATTCAAGGGGAAGCGCTTTACTGTTTGAAGCGAGATCGGGTTGCCTTAGAACGCGTAGTTATAAAGCAAGATTCAGTAAAGAAGAAGAACAATGCACATGCTGCGGGAAAGATAAGGAAACGGCGGAGCATGTTCTGATTGAATGTGGAGATATCCACCCAGGTGTACGTTTGGGCACGAGCCTACAGGAAGCCTTGGGTTTTAGGGACAACAATGGAAAGCTGAACACACCCGCGATTGAAATAAGTAAGAGACGGTTAGAGTATTGGTGGCAGAAAATTAGAGAGAAAGGACAAAAATAAATATTGGAAAAATAAAATATGGCCAGTGTGCCGTAAATGGCAGAGAACTTAAGCTGAAAATTTACCTTTTTTCCATTAAAATAGAATTTATCGAAGTAGAGGCATTAGGCCAACATAAAAAAAAAAGAAAAAAGGTTTTTTTTTTTGTCGAGCCTGGTGGCATACTTGTCACCACCCCGTTATAAAGGGGACGCTCATAGCATCCATCCATCCATGGTCAATTGGCACTGTACAGCATCAATATGAAGGCCATGGCAAGAACAATAAAAAAATATCTATAGCTCGCTATGATAGCACTGTAGCTGAGGACTACATAACAGTACTGCCTGCATAGCACTGCAGCTTCAGGAAAAAAATATGTTTAAGTCATCACTCACCGACAACATTGAGGAAGAAGTTGTGAAACGCGTATCCATGAATATTGGAAGCGTTGCACTGGTAGACAGCGGTGTCAAGCATTCGAAGGTGCTCGAATAATGAGCGTGCATCTATCACTGCCTAGCCTCATGTTGCTGTTGCCTTCCAGCATCTCGATGGGCACGCCATTCCTGAACCAGTGCAGTTTTGGTTCCGGTATGCCCGAGGAACAACAATTAAAGGTGACGCTCTCTCCGGAGGCTTTGATGGCGGAGTTCGGTACTTGAAGCCAGTTGGGTTCTGCCTCCACCTTAACACGGATGGCGTGTGTCTGTACCTCGCCTACGCCATTGCTGGCCTCGCACTCATAAGTGTCTTCATCCTCCAAGCTTACGGAATGAAGTTTCAGCGTCCTGCCATTGTTTGAATAGGACACGCGTTCAGGCGACAGATCCCCTCCTCGCTTTTTCCACGAGGTTTGAGGCTCCGGTGTGCCTCCGTAGACACAGTGAAGTTCGAGGAAACGGCCCCGCAGCGCTACCATTTCTTCGGGTGACACATACTGCTTAGTGGGCGATCTCGCTTGTTCACTGCTCGGGTCTGGACTCCACGTTCAGCAGGATCTTGTTGCCGAGCTTGTACTCGAGCAGTGAGCGTGACGAGGCGACGCAAGCGTAGACAGCATGGGGAAAAGCGTCCTGCGTCTCGACGTGCGAGAAATGCAAACCTCCCTGGGGATCTACGATCATGCGCGATGAATTGAGCGCTCGCAGGGTACCGTTGGCGTGTTGTATTACCCACGAGACAATGGGTCGCGGATAACCCGCCGGTGGGTCGCAAGGCGAGCGACAGCGGGTCGCCCTCCCGGACTCGCACATGTTTCGGTGGGTTTTCGGGGAACTTTCCGAGCTCGGTCTTGCGCACTGAGACGGTACCGGACACTGCCGTGCCGAGATTGTTGGTGGCGTGGCACTGGTACAGCCCTTCGTCCGCGTTTTCGGGGGCTGTGAAGACGAGCGAGCCACGGTGGGGCTGTTGTGTGATGCGGTTCCCGAGCGAAACATGGCCGAACTTCTCGCCGTTCTTGGTCCATTGATAAGTGGGCTCGGGATCGCCCGTGGCCTCACACTCCAGCAGAAAAGGCTCGTCCGGTTCATCCGCAGAGTGGGACACACGAAAAAGCTGCTCGCGCGTTGGCTGCTTCACCAATGTCGGCGGAAAGGATAGATCACCAGGTCGCTGCCGTTACAGCAAGCAGGAGGACTGCCAGCTGTGGCGGCAGCCGCCTTGGTGGAACGGTCATTCCTGCGTGCACGCAACATCATGGGTTGTAATAGAATGGCAGAGGGCAGATTGGAGTTGCACAAGCCCACAGTGCATGAACTACGGCAGGCGAAGAAAGTATCAAACAGAAACGCATCGTCTTTGAAACGTTCAAGAAAATAATAAGGATGGGTACAACCAAAGGAACTTAGATTTGCCATCACTGGTTCTGCTTCTGTCTTCTACAACGATTCACGCACAACTTCCGTCTTTGGTCCGATATGTTATCGTGTCGTCATCGAACACACGACACGGTCACGCAATCGAATAACTCACGTGGTCTCGATTGAAGCTATAGTGGATGAGAGCTGCGTAACAACGACGTTTGGGTCATCATCAGTTTAAAAGTCAACTCAAGTTAACAAGTATCTCCAGGAAACTCCCATTCGTCTGTTTCCTGCTTGAGTAGTTCGCGGCTATAGCAGCCACGTATTTGCTTATATCTTATTGAACGTGATTGAGATACGAATGAACTTATCAATCAAGTTTGGTTCAGTTGTGTGACCCGCAGAAGATCGCGATTGGCCGGGACACGATGATTTCTATCTCGTGGCGTTCAGCGGTGATTGACGCACACGTGCGCGCCAGAGAAGTTACGGGGTCAAGCGGTGAGCCCTTCCTTCGATTCACGATTGATTTATTTGTGGGGTTTAACGTCCCAAAACCACCACATGATTATGAGAGACGCCGTAGTGGAGGGCTCCGGAAATTTCGACCACCTGGGGTTCTTTAACGTGCACCCAAATCTGAGCACACGGGTCTACAACATTCCCGCCTCCATCGAAAATGCAGCCGCCGCAGCCGGGAATCGAACCCGCGACCTGTGGATCAGCAGCCGAGTACCTTAGCCACTAGACCACCGCGGCGGGGCTTCCTTCGATTCACAGTACAGAGAGAAAGGCAACCGGAGACCTTCACCTGAAGGGTGAAATGTAGTGCGCGCACCGATTTACCCCTGCCTGAAACCTTTCGCGTTGCTTTCTTATCGGTATAGCAGAACTCGAGGAGAACGCGTGTCGCATTTGGGAAATAAGACCCTGTTGGAAGTCGGCACGTGCGTCATGACGTGCCTCTTAATCTGCGCCCTGTTTCTGAGCTGTTTACAGAAGTATCTAATTACCGCCGGCAGACCGCGATGCTGACTCTGGGAGAACAAGATTCTATTTTATAAGGCTCTGTCTCGGTTTTCATTCTTTTCGCCCGCTGTCCTTAATTTGAAGATTCCACAATGCCATAGTTATTGCTGCTTTTAAAGTGTGACACAAAAAAAAAACGTGGCTGCGCCATATTAGGGAAGGGCAACTCGGGTGCTACAGCTTTTCAAACAATAATTGAAGATGCGAAGGAATATCTCAGTATATACAGAGGGCTAGATCTGTTTTGAAAAGACTATTTTTCAAAAGTATTACGCACGCACACATTAAGGATACACTAGTACATAGAAGAACCAAAATCTCCCCTAGTTTGTAGCCCTCTATAAATGTTCGATAGGCGCTTTTTTGGTGACATGACACACGCCCTGACGATAGGTCAGGCGTCTTAAAAAATGTATACTATATTCTAAGGGGGCGCCACTAATCTCAACGTTTCACATGGCACTAATTACCGGCGTCAAGTCTTTCATGTGCGGCAGTAGACTGCACAAAATCTGCACACATATTCAAACGGATTGTGTACGAAGTCCGTCTCGAAGGTATGCGAGTCGCACTGATGCTTTCACCGTGTAGTCAATCAATCAGCCTCCTGGTGACGCCGCTTGGCTAGACGTTCCTCTCTCTGCCCCGGTGTCAATATGGAACGTTTAGCCTTCTGTTCGTCCTACGCTCATAGGCTAATCGCTGCAGGCAACTACTTCGGGATCCGATGAGTTAAGCTTCTGCGCCGCTGAGCAGAAATTTCACTGTCCTTCTCCATGGCTAAACCATACTGGTAAACGCCCCGCCGCGGCAGACTCGAGGTACGGTCCACGGGTACGATCAGAAAGCGTCTGCCACGGCTATGACATCACTCCTCTGGAATGCGCAGACCAGCGCAGTCACTGCTCCTCGCGCATGTGCAGTACAGCTCTTGTACGTGCACACGAAACCGCTTTGGCTCGGTCATTGTAGCCATAGAGTTTCCTTGAAGAAGAGCAAAACTATTTGTGGAAAAGACTTTATTATCGCTAAAACAGGGCAACGCCACGTGGTCAGCCCAAGGCACCACTGGCTCTCGCCATCCTTTCAGACCTCCTGACTAGCCTCAGCTGGTCCTCAAGGGCCGCGGGCTGGACAGCATTGCCTCTCTCTGCTGTTGTCCCCTTCCTGTTCTTCGGTGTGTGTCATACATTCCCAGGTGACGTGGTAGAGCATCGGTGTGCTTCCTCACCACGGGCATATGTCTCTATGCTGTGGAGTAGTACGCATGCAAGCTGTGTATGTTTGTGTATGCGTTAGTTTGGAGTCGGCATAACGTCGCAGAATCCATGGCCGAAAGGTTCTTGCGTGGTGCTGGGTAATGTTTCCGTAAATCTCTGTAATATTGCTGGATCTATTTGTAACTGGGTCTTTACGGTGTTGCCACCAGCAGCTCGGTAATTAGTGAAACCTCGAGCCACCGAGGTATTTGATAGAGGTTTCCAGTAACACCCTCGTGTCTCTGGGCCCAAGCGATTGTCTGGGTAAAGCGTATGTCCAGGAAACTTTATCTACTCCAAGTGATAACATAGCAACTGGCAGTGGCGTGAATCCAGAAAAATCACAAGGCGGAACACAGACCTTGCCTCAGCGGCCATTTTGTTTTTGTGAGTGTTGAAGGGTTTATATTTTTACTCACACAAAAATAAAACCATGCCCCTCGAAATTAATTTAAAAAAATAAAACAATGGTTCCCAGCATCCCGTAATGTCAGTGTTCTATCAAGTGTCTTCTGAAACCGATGGAGCGGTAGTTGCGATTCCAATAGTCTCGCACAGCTGAAAAGTATTCGGAGCAGCGGTACACGCAACAAAAAACAAAAGAGTTGAGAAAGTGTCATCCAATATACTTATCCGTCAAGCCATTCAGATACATGATGTGTGAAAAGAAATTTCAAACGGGGCATTTACAATGGGTGTCCCCCCAGCTTGAGCACAAGGTGGGCCAGGACCCCCTTGACTCATTTACATGCTTCGCCCGCGGCATGTTGCTTCCAAGAATCAACCACCGGCGTATCGCTACACCAGCATGAACGACTTCGGTAACGAGGCGTCAGTTCCACCATTTCATAAGCTCTCACTGCCTTGTCCGGTTTTACTATTACGCAGAGGGCTGTCTTTTTTCCGTGCAGTTTCCGACCTCTGAAGTTGCAAGTCTCATGAATCTATAGGAACACGGGCGATTTCGCAGTCCGTGTGCGTCTGTGTGTGGTATAGTTGTGACGTCGCTGGTCGAACCCACGAAATCACGATCAGCCGGTGGAACGCTACTAACAAAGTGACCACGACGTAGCACAGTTAACAGGGATATCAAACCTGTCCTTATCGCTGCAGAGTAGTGATTAAGCTGATTAGGAGTAATTGTGTGACATCATAGCGGTCAAGACTTTTGCGCATGAATTGGCTAAAAGCAAGCTGGAAGTTATACGAAATGATTCGCATTTACAAAGAGAGAGAGAAAAAAGAAAACACTGGCTATTAAGTAAAAAAAAACCTATAGGTTACATCCTAATAAATAAATTATTCGCTGCCTACTCTTTCTCAGCTGAAAAAGTTACGTCTTTGATAAGTACTCCGCTTCGTAACTTTGTATAAACAAAACAAAAAACGAAACAAAATACATGTTCAGTATGCTTACTATAGGCGTGTAATAACTATTCCGGACGACTTGACAACTTAGTATCCACAAAAATCCACAAAAGTACAAGTGCAAAAATACACTAAAAATGGGAAAGTTCGCTATCTGTTTGCAGTTCTGAGTAATTTCCACAAGGTTACTGTTTAGAACTTCTCGGTGCCCTTGATTTGGAAGAACAAGTCTATATTCCTTACTTGCTGGACGGTTTTCAGGTCACACGGAAGACCGTTCTTGCTTTAGGGCATCACCGGTGTCTGTAAGCCCCGCCGCAAAACATACCCGGTACGAATCAGCCGAGACATCAGACGGTTTATTTACGACCTCACAATCTCGTGTGAGGAGGACGAATGAAACATAACACGTGTGTTGACTATCCAGGGGCTGTTACCTCGCAAGCCGCTGCGCCATTTGAGGCGTCGTTGATAACGCGACGGCTAACTTCATCTAATGTTTCATCTCTTTGCTAAGCTCATCACTGGCAGGAAAAGTAGGAGTCGTTGACAGCTCATACTGATTTTGTTTTTGTAAGTACCGCTTGGTCGATAGCAGCGCCTACTGACCCAGTTAGTACTTCGACGCCATTGCCGACTACTTCAAAGCTTAATAAACGCTCTTTTGCATTCCCTATAACTCCATGATGATGATGATGATGATGATGATGATGATGATGATGATGATGATGCCTCCACTATGGCTATTGCCCACTCAGGGGGATCGGCCAAGACTTGGTGACATTAAATTTTATCCTATAACGTTATACATAATCCTACCAAAGGAGGATAAAGCAAATGTAAAAACAGAAAGAGTGCAATAATTCCTTTTTGCCATTTCGACCAGACAGAATACTCTATATATTGAATGCAAATTGCAGTAATTTCAAACACGTTTAAAATTTATGTTTATAATTTGCTTAAGAATACTATAGTTAAAAATATACAACTGAGAATTTAGAGGCGCATTCGTTTTTTTTTTCATTAACATAACTGCAAACGGCATCAAAGGCGTTCCTGTGGCTGCAGTGTAGTCCAGAACCGAAACACCAAAGGCTGTCAATGGTGAAGGGCAGTCATAGGTTAGCGAATGACAAAAAAAAAATGCTCTATTGATTCC